CTACCCCCCCCCCCCCCCCCCCCCACCACCACAGGCGACACCTTGCAGAGCAAGCGCGCGTAATCCAGGGTGCAACTGAAAATAACCTTGTCGCGCCACCCTATTGGAGTAATTTTTTTCAGAAATCGAAAGGGGGGGGGGGGGGGGTCAGGACCCCACTGACACCCCCCGTAAATCTGCCACTGATTGTGGTCAAAGAGGATTATTAAAGCTGGTTAGTTGGAGATAAATACCGTATATCTCATAAAAATTTGATAAGTACTACTTATTTTTTACTTCTTTATGGTAAAATGTCACACTCTTCATCTTAAAACCTCCGCCACAAGCAAAGTTCTGCTTTATGCGTAACAGGGCAATTGTTCTGTAATCAAAATATATTTTGTGACTGATTACCATTTTTGACCGAGTTGGTTATGCGATGTAAAAGACATGCATCTGGGCCCAGTTTCAACAACACAGGATAGCGCTATCCTATGGATAATACTATCATTTGGATAAAACTGTTATCCTCTGGAAAGTTATCTTGAGGATAGCAGTCTTTTATAAACCACTGGAGAGCAATATCAGAGACAAAAAAAAAAAAAAAAAAAAGGATAATTGCCCAGAGAATGGCGCTATCGTGTTTATGAAACTGGGCGCTAATATTTATTGGTTGAAAAAGTATTTTCAGCCAATGTTACACAGGGAGGCCCATATGGCAAGAAAAAATATATAGTAAAACACATAAATATGCGTTCAATTCTCTCTTTTTGCATATTCTTTGAAAGGAAGATGGTGGATTATAAGTAACAGTAATGTAACAACTTGGACGAATAAAACCATGTAAACGCTTTGCAATTTAACAGAAGGTACCAAGTATTTTAAATTATATGCTCTTGTCGAACATATCTCCGACTGATTTTTACACAATCAGCATTTTTCTTGTTATCCTTTAATAACGATAATGGCTAAATGGTTCAAGTCTCAAAAATTTCGCCAACAGCATGCCTTTTGAGGTATCCAACTTGAAACATCCCGCCCTGTCCACCACGCGCTCTGTTGTCGGTTTTATGCTTTGTCACATGACCACGTTGTGTTTTCACGACCCCGGCAAAACTTTGTCTCATCACTATATCGCCGAGATTGGCGCGATGGAGGATGAAAACTGCCAAGAATGTCACGATTGGTGCAAAAACATGGCATCGGGCACCTGTACGCGAGCTGTCATCTTCATTACAAGTGCGAAGAAGGCCCTGTCAACAATGTGGTTAAAAGAAAAAGGATGACAACAAGGTTTTGGCTTCGCTGGACGAGTCTATCTGGCGGTGTCTTGCTTGAAATATCTAAACTCAGTACAATGGGGTGGAGATTCACTACTTATTCAAACACCATTTATTTGCCTAAAGAACATTGTCATGCGAAAGGTGAGTTTTTCACTCTTACTGATTTATTAAAATATTACTATTTTTCTTTACTGTTGTGTACTACCACCCCAAAGGGGCGAGTCCAAGTATGTGAGGGCGCTAACAGCTGACACTGACCAAGATGCTCTCACGGTCGACCTTGGACCTGTAAATGATAAGAGCTCTCCATTTTGTGAATATCTTCTGTTTAGTTTTTATTTAATTTCGAAGAATAATGATTTCATATTTGAAAGCACCAACATTCTTTCTACCATAAATGGTCGTCATTTTTAAATGGCAATATGATCAACCAATTAGATCGAAGCAATATGCCCACGTGACGGTATTCGACCAATCAGCTTATTGGACTTTGAACTTCCTGTGGGCTTTGTCCTTCACCCAGGGTTAGTAACGAATTTTACTACTGTACACAGAATAAGTAGTACTACAGTTTGAAAATATTGACGTTTGCCTATATTTTGCAGAATTAATGGCAAATATTAATTGCATAATTTTTGCAAGGTAACAGTATATTCTTCGTTTGCTCGATGTCTTCCAGATCGTTAGGAAATTTGGAAAATTTGGAGTAGAAAAGCAGCGAGCACCTGCCCTGGATTTTAAATTTCGCTCTGGAGGGATTTAAATTTGAAACTGCCATCACACAGTTGGACTATGGAGTTCTACAGAATAGGTGATACAGAAACCATGTCGATGCAGGAGCTGATTGAGGGCGACTTGCGATCGGAAATTGATAACATTTTGAGGAATGGAAACCTTCAAGATTTAAACACCAGTTTAAATAATTCGAATAGTGTCAGTCATCACGTCAATGTCAACGGCCATGTTGCAGCCATCACTTCTTCTGCTGTAATTCAAATTCAACCACCCCTCCAATCTGTAGCTCAGGTTCAGACCACAGGAGGTAATGTAGACTTAGAATCATCTGCTGGCTCAGAGTTGGGGAATTTAAGCTGGCTTCACAATGTGGATGTGCCCCAGTTGTCAAGACTAGCACAGGCAGAGAACAACAACCCTAACCTGCTTGTTAATCCACAGACTGGTATGCCTATTCAGACACAAATTGGTCAGCCCATGGCAATCTCCATAGCAGGTGCTGCTCCTTCCCCTGCTGGCCACGGAGCACCGCAAGTGCAGTATGTGACAATCACTAGTCCAGCAAATATTGCAACTACTGCTCAACAGCCCATGTACATACAGCAGCCTGCCTCCACTGCAGTATTACAGCAGCATCTACAGAGTCCTAACGGTATGCAGAATCAACAGCAATATTTCCAATATCAGCAAAGCCCTCAGACTTTTAACAACCAAAGACCTGCTGCGGTCGCTACACAAGAAACGGAGAAAATGTTCCCCAAGCCTGTGTATTCTTACAGCTGTTTGATAGCAATGGCACTGAAAAATAGCAAGGCTGGGAGTCTGCCAGTCAGTGAGATTTACAATTTTATGATGTAAGTACTAAGGATTAGTTTTTACAATTTTGAATAATTGTGACTGCCAATGTTTTCATCTGTTTTGCTTTTATTATATAAAAGAAATAAAATCTGAATTTTTGATAGTGGAAACAACTGTAAGATTTGTTTACAAAAGATGTATGTTTTGAAAATCAAAGACGCGTTTTACCATACTAAGTGTCTGTTATTCCAGTTAAATCAGGCAGTGAAAAATGAAGACAGATCAACGAAAAGTTAATGAAATTTACTTGGATTGAATCAGTGATATATACTAGGAGCAATTTTTATGTTGTTGTAAACTAAGTTGCAATTGTTCCACAGCATATTTGTAGCTGTCATGAGAAGTTTCTTCAAAATGTCCAATGTTATTTTGGTGGTTACTGTAGCATAATTTCCCCTTTTCTTTTATGATCTAAATCTGCAGAATCACTTTCATTATCACTTGCCATATCAATTATTCACCCACACACTTATTTATTTACAGAGAGAATTTCCCCTACTTCAAGTCTGCTCCAGATGGATGGAAGGTAGGTATTAATAACTTGAACAAAATCAATAAAATTGCATGGCTAATAACCGGGAACTTCTGTGGTCTTTGTTTTCACAGAGTAATGACATCAGTGTTCAATATGAATGTATTATGTCAAAGAATAGAACTATTATCCATGTTACCGTTTATTTCAAGTCACCTGTTTCATTGATGAATAAGTTATTAGTGTTATATTGTGCACAATACACTGCAGTTGTTTTGTTTATACAGATTGTGGGCTTGAATGTATTGAAAAACTCGCTAACTATAGAAGGTTGTATGGAAATACCTGTTATCAATGGAAACTGCTTGCAAGGAATGTTGTGGCTCACTTTAAAGGATATAATGACAAAAGAATGAGTGAAGAAATGTTTTATGTGGTAAAGAACACGTGTCGATATCAATTTTTGTATTTTGTCAAGCATGTTGATATTAATGTGGTTATTGATTTCTTGAAGACTTAATTTTGTCAGCCCATATTAATCATCATTATAGATTGCAGTGTGGAATTGTTCATTATGATGAAAAAAGACTTAGATTATAATCAAAATGCAGTATTTTGGTTATTCATTTTATGTGATAGCCTCTTTCATAAATCTGTTTTCTATGAGGGAATTATTCAGATACACTAAATTTGAACCAAATGTAGAAATATGCCTATAACAGAAATGCATTTCTTCTTGAAGTTGAAGCAGTTTTTTTTCACTAGGTTCTGTTAGCCATAATGCAGATCTAAAACAAAAGATAATTATGTCACTTATGTCCATATATATGAAAGCAGGGATGATACTTTGGCCCTTATGTAGTTACCATGTAGATATATATCCTGTAATTTGTACTCATTGTACATAATTGCTGCTTAAGTGCTTTGATTACAATAAAGTCACTCTATTGTCTATAAATAGTATTCTCTAAAATAAATGAATGGATATTATTATCAATGACAGAAATCCTGAAGATGAACTGAATGGGGCATATAAGTGATGGACCAAGAAGCTTTAAAATGAAACATGTGCAGTGTAAATATGTGCCTGACAGGTTTGATTTGAAGAGTTGAGTCACCTAAAAGTTTTCTCTCCTATCAGCAGGAATGTTTATAAACACCTAGTGTTTTAAATATACTGTGACCTTAGGATGACCCAGGAAAATCTAAGTAGCACCTTTGAACAAGATGCAGTACATCATTAAATTATGCAGGTGACTTAATCTGGTTGACCTTGATGATGAAATACAACTAGGGTCATGGGAATTTGATATTAGTTATGTACAGCTCTCTTGCATATTAGATTTCAGTCATTTTAAATCGATTTTGAAAAGATTTTTTGAAAGTCTAAAAGTAATTGTGAATGTGACATTTCCAGTTGTAATTATTTTTCTGTTTTATATTTACTTCAGTTGGTATAAATATGTTAGATGCTTGTTTCTAAATAGATTGGGCTTCTGTCTTCACATATATGTCTAAAATGCATTTCCGTGAGAATGGATACTTGCTTTGGTTCATAATGATATTGCTGTGATTTTGCCATGTGCCTTCTTTCATCCACTTGTGTTTAAGGAAAATCAGTATTTATTGCATAAGCCACTTGTAGTGATAATGATGGCTTTTCTGATTGAATCAGTTTTGTCAAATAAAGACACATGATTTAATAATATGAGGATTAAGAAAGATTTGGGTTAATTACATGTGAAACCTGTTTGACAATGTTATATCTTGCACAAAAGATTGGTCTTGATATGTTAGGATATGATATATGCTTACAGTAGAGCTTGAATATGATGGCCTTGCATAAGCCTATAATGCACTGTTTCTGGAAGTCCTAGTTTTTGTGCTGAGAAAGAATGACTGCATATGACTACACTTGGCAGACATGATTGATGATTTTTGCATATATTGTATAAAGTGTCACATGATTTTCGGTTGGAAAATTGTATGTCAGTAATGGTTTGATATTTCCCTTTAATTACTCTCTACCAAAGACCAACTCGGTGATGTCATCATTTTTTTTATGCAAAAAGTTACACTGGACTGTAAAGAAATGTGCTCTGAATAAGAGAAATATCTGTCAATATCTAAAAAAACTTTCTGCATCCTTGGTACCGAATAACTTCTTTTGAGAATTTGGCCAGGCATAGTCCGTCTCTGAACACAAGTTACAACAATTTGCAGTGTATAATAGTCACATTTGCACAATTTTTTTTCATTTCCTTCCAGAATTCTGTTCGCCACAACCTGTCTCTGAACAAGTGTTTTGAGAAGATTGAGAATCCAAAGGGTGGAGGGACCTCCAGGAAGGGGTGCCTATGGGCCATGAATCCTGCCAAAATAGAGAAAATGATGGATGAGATAGCCAAATGGAGAAAGAAGGACCCCATTGCTATCAAGAGGAGTATGGCAAAACCAGGTATGTTAAATGGTGTGGCATGAATTCATGGATTTTTTTTGACTAACAAGTTACATGAATTACAAGTACCAGTATATATTTTTGGTGCTTTGTATGTATTAATCTATATTATGAAACCTCATCAACAGAATTGAGAAGAAGCAGACTTTTTTGTTGGTGATAAACAAGAAATTGAGCTAAACTCTGTCTGTATGTGAGTATACCACTTGTTTTGTTGATATGCAAGAACCACTTTCTAAATATATTTTGGGGTCATTCAAATGATGCATGTTTTGGCAACAATTTTCAAACAGGGAAAATGGACATTCTGATGGTCTGAATAAAAGAATGTTTCCATTTTAGTATGAAGTCACAATTTATAAGTAAAACAAATTCATGTACTTTCTGTTGCAGAAGACTTAGATATTCTAGAGAAAGGAGAAGCAGGTCTTCCTCCTAGCAACAACAGTATTCAAGATGATCCAGAGCCAATGACACCTGAGTACAACATGGATGACCCACGTCTGCTGAAAGACCCAACTTTGTTGAAAGATTCTGGAGATTTCTTTGGAACTCTGAATGGATTAGATCATAATCTAGAACTGGATCCTTCTCTGTCAGAGCTAGCCTTACAGGTAGGATTTGGGTTTTGAATTGTTGAATGAAATATTATTTTGAATTTTTAGGCTAAATGAATACTTGTACAATTAGGGGAAAAATAAAGTTAAAGTAATCTTTTCTTTTAAACACTGAAAGAAACTATTGAGTTTACTGAAGCATAACATTAAGTAAATTGGCTGAGAAATTGAGCTAAATTTTGTCTGTATGTGTATGTCACATTCTGAAGGAGCTGAAAAAAAAAAAAGTAAAAATGAATACACTTGGTGGGCAATGCTGTCTTTGATGTTTATGAAATAACATTAAATCTGTTTTCTTTCAGAATGGCATCTGGGATGACTTTAACTCAGACGATCTGAACCTGGACATTCCAATCACCACATCTCCATTTAATATATCGGGATCTTCGCTCCTGAATTTTTCTTCCCCAATGAGCTCAGCATCACCTACTACTTTTCTAAACAGTCCCAAAGTAGGTACGTTTCTGGCATGTTTTTTTTTTAATACAAACAACTAAAGCAAAATGTTTAATAACAATAAAGTTTTTTTTTTTTTCACTTGGATGTATAAGAAACCCTTAATTTGTTATTAAGAGGCAGTAGCTTGTTTCAGTCAAATAATTTAAATTTTGTATGTTTTATGCTGAATAGTGACCTGAGATGATTTTGTGGGCATGTCTTAAGGGTTACATCAATATACCTTTTTAACACTCCTGTCGATGTTTATATATAGTGACCTTTATTCTTTACCTATTGTTACATCCAATTTAAAAATCAATAAAATATGTGAAGTGATTGAAGTAATCAACACCTATGCTTGTTTATACCATTAAGCTATGGTAAACGTATTCAAGATCACCCTGACGTTTTTTAAAGCTGACATTACCATCTTTCAGGTAGCGTAAAAGTGGAACCAATGGAAAGTGCCACTAATATACAAGGCAGTTATATAGTTGAAACCACTTTGTCAGGGAGTGTGAAAAGCCGACCTACAACTCCAAGAACTATAGGGACAAATACATGACAAACTTCTGCAGAATATTAGACTTTCAAATTGAAAATCTGACACACATTTTATCATCACAATGTTTATATGCAATACATACAAGGTGCATAAAAAGTGTATATTATACTGCCAATTATAATGTATGACAAATTGATTTCAAAGCTTTTACGTCCTAATTATAAATGTGAAGGTTTTTAATCAAAAGCAAGGTTGTTCCTGTTGTAGATTTTCATCATGTTTTGGTTAGTTGAATTGATTGATGATAAGCTTAGGGTTTTAAGGTAACCATAACAATTTGGCAGTCTTAATCATAGACTAGTCTCCTTTGTGTCATCATCTTAATATTTGTTTATATCTTTTTCCCTTGTAGGACATAAAGCTGAAGTTTGAATTGTTTTATTTCAATGAGCCCTTTAAAAATTGTTACACTGGAGGTATACAATCATGGTATCATATTTTTTTCTTTTCTTTGTGTTAAAGGGCCCTGAGTGTAAAGATTTATGTAAAATTGGACAAATAACCTTTTTCCTTATCTTTTTTGAAAGTGTGTTTTTGTTTTGTCATTAGTAAGATGTAAGGTTTTTGTAATTTGGATTTAACTTTGTCAATGAATGATACTCTGTAAAATGTAACACTTTGTTTCTCTCATATTTTCTCAAATTACAAGGTGGTATTTAATGTTTTTTTATATTGAGGGAGAGAAATCACGGTTTTTGATGTTGTAAGTAGTGTATATAGCTGTACATAGGTAATTAACACTGGCACAGGTAGGCCTGCTACATATATGTATATAATATAAGAGTGGAGTGAGAATGAGAAAGATCGGTTCATAATGATTCTATTATTGCTTTTTAGTTAACAGTATGAGGTGAATGTTTAGCCAGCTTTATTTCACTGGAACTGTCTTAGGAGAGAATTACCTGGCATTGCACTTTAATGCTAACATTATTTTAACGATCACAGATCAAAAATTCTAAACCCTACAGCTATTACTATTTTTTAATGGAGTATATAGAAGCCCTCCATTTATTTTGCTTTTCTAAAATGTGTCATCTGGTTTATGTGCATCGTCCCAAAATAAGATGAGTGATTGACATAGATGTAGATGATCCCTGATGACTTCTAGGAGGCGAGTTCTAACTATGAAACAACACACAAAACACAACAAGTGGTCTCTAACTGTTACATTTTCTGTGTAGTCAAAATCAGGGCACCTTTGCATTGTTATCTATGGTACATTTTTGATGCAAAGATCCACCTGGTATATTTTTGTCCTTGAAATTCAGTTGTGTATCAAATATAGTCTAGCTTTGTACACTGCAATGAAGTAACCAAAGGTGCCACAGGTGTTTTTTTCCCCTGGCAGTAAAACGGTGCTTCTTCTTGTCCTGTTTGCTGTAGAGTTAAGGTTTTAATATTGTGTTAATACATTGTTTTTTTTACAAAATCAGATATGAAAAATAAAAAAGTGATCTACACTGCCAAGTATGATAACATCAAATGCTCAGGTGTGGACTTCCCAAAGGCAGCATTCTCACCATTAGTCCACAGTGTCAACAGTGGTGCAACAATAATCAATTATCTGTCATTTATATGGTGTCAAGAGAGCATTTGTTTTAATTTTCTGTATTTGTGTCGCATTAAGAACAAAGGAAGTATGTACTATGTAACAAATGTCTAGTGTCACATGTACTGCACAAAGTATATCCAAGTCAAATGTTGGTGCACATAGACTAAGATTTTAGGATATTAGCTGCATTTTGGTTAAGCGTTGCCTGGAGGTGTAGTCCATATTTGGTCTAAATTAGTCTAGTTGAAGACTTGGATGAACCACTTGCCCATAATGCAATTTTAAGTTCACCTGGGCATATTTTATCAAGTATTAAGTCTTTTTAGATGAGATTGAGCAAAAATATCATACTTACATTAAGATGTCCAATGTTTTAATACATTTTATGGTGCCACTTGGTGCATATCAAAGCAATGTATTTCTGGTTGCATTTTTATGTTTGCCTGCCAGGTTTTAAAATATGCATGATCAGTTTCACAATGCCACGTTGAGCCTGTAAGAGCAGCTGAAGGATCTATGCAAGCTGAAGTGCATTTATTGTTAAAGTTATTGCTTTTAAAACATTTTGACACATTTACAATTTTTGTCACTCATTCCATCTACATTTACTGTATAACACATAAATAGGTAGATCATAATCTGTGCGGCTTTGTATTAGCTACTGTAAGACCTTTTACAGTCTAATTTTTATGATTGTTTGCACTGTAAGTGATGTGTGGTAACAAAATTGGTGCATTGCTTTTACCCTGTATCTTATTTGTGTATGACGGTAGTTGACAATCATTTTGGTCAAAACAATGTAAAAATGCCAAAATGAGTAAATTTGTGACCTGTGGCTCACATTTTAAAACTGAATACTACAGAAAATGGCTGGTTGTGTAGTGTTTACTGGCCCATTGAGTAGGCACAGAACCAATTTGAGTTGAAATTGAAGAGATAACTCTAGAACCAGATTAAATGCTAAGAATTGAAATGCTTGCTTTTTAGAGTTTTTAAGGCAAAACTGAATACTACTGAGAAACCACTGTGTGATAGTGTGTTAGATATAGTCAATGTAACATGTACTGGCATTAATTCTATTTTCTCCTAGAAAATGCAGATGGATATACTGTAATTAAAAACTGAGAAGACTTAAGGTATATGTCCCCTTTCTAAGGAAATTTTATATTAAGAATGAGCTTGAATGTTAAGTGTCTCTGATTAATTAATCATTGTCACAAATGCACAGATCATGTAATAATTATAGACAAACTGGCGTTTTGAAATATTATCAATAAACACATGACCTTAATGGGAGTATTGTTTTGTGCTATGCAAGGTGTCACATAGTTAAAAATTCATTCTCTTTCAACGTACACTTCAACTAATGCATTCTCCAATGTTTTACCTGACTAGTGAAAAACAACATTATTCCAACAAAATCTTTATTAACAGCTACATGAAAACAGGCTAAAACAATCCTACATACAATAGTGTGACTTTTACCTAATAATACTGTGAACAGCGGTAAATCCATTCTTGGGACAACCTTTCTGGAAAATCTACAGAAAATATATTACAGTTTACACAGTACAGAAACATGACTTCCGAACATTGAGCCTACTGCACTGAAAAAAAGGGTCTGAATTATTCCAGATTCCACATCCACTCCTTTAGGCCCTCAGTTGTCAGAGAATTTTTGGATCCATCTTGTCTCAAGAAAAAATTGTTTTCAACAAATCAGAAGAAGACTACATCTCGCATTCGGCAGACATTTTGATCCCATATAAGGGAGCATTCCCACAAATCCATCATACTAGCTGAGTTGATCTAACTCTGCCGGGATTCTTGGCAACTTGCTTTCAGTGTAAGTGGCAAGATGTCTGGCAAGCCTAGTCAAGCTGCTAGAGTGGTAATTGACGACAGTGAATAACCCTCTTGTTACTCAAAAGTAAACTCAATCCAGCTAGTGAGATGGGTTTATGGGAACGCAGTCGAAAAGGCCAGAATATTATATAAGGTATAGGCAAGATTGTAGGTTTCATTATTATACATAAATTGCTGTTAACTTCTGTGATAGAGAATGGGAATCATCAGAGATAGCCTAAAATTTTGCCATTTAACATAAAGTCAAGCAAAAGTTTTCACAATTTGGAGGGGATTGGGGTCAGAAATAACGGTAGGCTAATGAATGAGGTGCATCACAAAATAAAAGCTGACAGAATTTATTCAGTTTTCTTACATTCTGTCTAATTACAATCTATTGCACAACTGAACAAATTCACCACACTTTAAGTGTCACTTTTGTAATGCTTTCTAATTTCTGATGCATAGAGTTTCGACCTTGTTGCTTAAAAGTTAACCAAAAATCGAGTGGATTTTGCATACATTTTCTAGTAGCATGTGGTGTCATGCGGAACCAAAAACCTTGCCTAAGGTTATCTTGGATGATTCCCATTGATGAATTCTCCATTACCAACATCACTCCTCAATGGATCATTCCAGTTTACTGCTGGGTCAAATATCCTCAACTTTTATTGGGATATTACAAGATGACAGAGTTAAGAAAAGATGTTTTTGAGAGGGAAGATCTTTTGCTGGTGTGGAATGGCCCAATTGAAGGAAAGTAACATAGGCATATGAAGAACTATACTAGCATAGTCACAAACAGTTCTGAATCTTACAGAGGTTTCAAAGGCCACTGGAAACTTGCCTTTATATGTTCAGCATGCCTCTTCAGTTTCCATTAATTGAATGAAAAGAATACAGAGGTGATTTTCCAGTGACCTCAGAAACTCAGGCTATACAAGGTGTGCTACAGCCAAAGGTGTCTCGATAATCCATAGGTTTACTAGTCCCTAGGTTCACTGGTCGAAAAATCGTTTGTACTCACCTCTTGATGAACTTTACTTTATTGCCAGTAAACACTTCATTCATGCATTTTGATTAAAATTTGGACTAATGAACCTTGGAACTATTACTATGGCCCCCTACAGCCAACAAAACATCCTAATTCCTCAGGTTTTCTGTATAATTTTTTGCAGGTAAAGCCACTTGTGTTCCATTTAATTTCTTGGTTACTTATAATATATTTTTTAGAACATAACAGAAACTATACTTTTGGACCAGCCAAAAATAAATGAAAATTATTGCAGTTAGAGATTAAATGTTGAAATATCTAGTTGAAAGAAGATCCAAATGCTCTTCAAAATAACAAGCACTATTTTGTTACATTTTAAGTTTAACTCTTCTGAAAATCTTTTATATCAAACAATGCAGAAGTGGTCAAAACCATTGTGCAACAAATTATATTGGTATGATTTGAGGGAACACATCAATAATCCAGCTTCAAAATCATATTAATACATGTTCTGCAGAAGTAAATATGTTTAATAAATTTGATATAATTTCATACTTGGCCAACTGCCATAAACTGTCCAAAGCTTATTCAAAAACCTCCTAAAATTACAGTTTACTTCAAAGATGCACAGACAAAAACCTTTCTTATCTTACAAATCTATTTAAAAACAATATCAACAGTTTTTTTTTTACAAAATTTGATAACACATATTGCACACAAAGCTTCCATATCTATGCTCAGCTTTCGTAAACCTGATAACTCGTATACTTTTGTGAGTGTCTTTCTCAAATATTTTCATGTAAAATTGTTCAAGAAAACTGATATATACTTATACTGGCACTTCAAACTAAGTGATCAATAAAATATTTCTGGATTACATAGTAAATAAGTATCACATTTTTGTTAAGTAACAATGTGTTCATGTTATGGGAGAAAAGAGGGTTTTTTTACTGGAAAACAAAACTAATTGGTTAAATGACAATGTTACAATAATGCAAAATTAAATGTATAGTAGGTAAGTGTATAAATGAGAGATATTCTCAAACAGATTTGACTCTCCATTAAGAACAATAAATATATGGGATGCAATATAACTATATACACTATTCTCTTTGATATACATCTTTTTTTAAAATAAATATATATATAAACTTACATTAACTCTTTTGTTTATCAACACTCTCAAGGAAAGTAAATGTAATATATCTTGTGTCCTGACTGTGTTGAACCATATTAGCTGTCACCATTTTGGTTTCAAAATTGTGTGTACTTGTTATATATCTGTTTGACTAAAATCAATTCACATGGGAATTGATTTGTAACCTGATTGAATACAAGAGTGCAAACATTTTCTAAAACTGTAAAATCATCATGAAAACAATCAGACAACAACAGGATGGGTAAACACAACAGTGAGGTATGATCATTTCAGTGATTTCCAATAATTCAAAACATCACAAGGATTCTTCGCTTACCAAATTTCACCCTGAACACACAATCAGCTGATCATAAAAATATTTTTTGATCAATTATGTATAAACTAAGTTCTAAATGGTACTGAAATACTTAATCTATGGTATCTTATTTACAAACAAGAGCATTATATACAAGGCAGTATTACTGTGATGGTTTAAAATATATGTAGGAGCACAAATAAATAATCAAGAGCAAATTAAGTCTTGAGAAAAAGCACACTTGTTACAAAAAGTGGGTGTGCAAACAAAACAAAATGCAAAGGGTAAGTTGAATATATATCCAAAAAAACTCTACCCATCAGCAATTAAAAAATTACCTTGAAATTATATGGGTAAATTCAAACAAATAATATGAATTTTCCCCTGTCCTGTAACACATTCCAACATAGCTTTACCGTAAGTGCAGGTTAAGCAAATACCAACTCACTTTTGGACACAAACAATATCTGTTATCAAAATATCTATCAAATGACTGCATTCACAGTTAACCCCTCAATTTTCTGTGTGACATTTCTTTTCTACACATAAGCAACATGATGTGTAACAATAATTCATGTCTACTTCACAATATTTCACAATATTAAAGGAAAGATTTTTATTCAGGGTTGTGACACTTTTCGTTCTGTGAATGACTGCTAGGCTGCAGTGTCACAAGCGTGTCTGCTTCTAAGATTGCCTGGTGCAGATAAAAACCAGAATGGTGATGTGAACCCTCTTGGCAGCAATCAAGTGCAACACTGTGTTAGGTGAGACAAGCCATGATTGTGCTTTGGTGTTCAACTGAAAATAACCACAAGCAAGCAAATAGGCTCCCCTTCAAACTTCTGACAGGTATTTGAGGGGACATGGCATCTGTTTGTCTCCAGAACGAACTGGCACCATGCCATCCTTTATTGAGCCTGCCTGTACAACAATCTGAAATAGTGAAATGTTCAAATGATGCACTACAGTTTTATGAGCAGAAAAGGTAGATAAGCTACTTTAAAAATTGAAGCACTTACAAGTTCCTTTTTAGGCCTTATTTAAAGATGCATTAAAACCAGGAAAAGGTGTCATATAGTTGACTCCCCCTTCAAATATTTCTGGATCTGCCCTTGTTTAATGCATCTTTAAAACACATAAAGTGCTTTCACCTAATATATTTAATGTTTTTCCATAAAATATCTGTTTAAAAATAAAACTTAAGATCTTATAAACCACATGTTTGTGTAAAAAAAACAAACAAACCCATCACACAGCGCATTTTCAATATCACGATGACGCTTAGTCATTGCTCTGATGTTAAAATGACATCAAAACAACATCGGATGCTGTGTGCCTGTAAGGAAGCATATTAAATATGATATAACTCTTACTTGGTCTTTTAAAAGCTTAAAATCTTTTCCTTCCTCACTGAGTTGCAGTCCCTGTTTAACAATGTATGCCTTCTGATCTGGTTCCACAGCAGTGACATATTTGGCAGGGAAGTATCCTACTTTTCCATTGCACCTTCCTTTCCACCAGTTATTATCAGAGGTTTCTATTGCTTTGATTCTCCACCCAGCCCTGTAATGTAGATAGATTTCCTTTTACATTTTTCCAGCTTAAATAAGTGGAATAAAACAATAATAATGAGGCAATCTTACACGTCCATTTCAGAATGCCATACCTGAGCATCTAATTGCATAGACAACAAATACTAGACACATTATTAATTCAAGGTTTGTGGCAATTACTGTTCATGCACTTTTTGTTAAGAGTTTTTGTACTTACTTGATTTCCAAATCTCCCCTTTCACTTCCCCTCCAATTATACAGAGATAGATACAGTTTTGACTTCCTTCTGCTTTGAGGCTGATTAAAATTAAAAATTAATTTTTGTACATAACTAATTTATAACAAAAGAAGAAGCAGTTATCCATTGTGTTACATTCTTTGACAGATTCAATGCCTAGAACTGATTGCTTAGAGTATGCCACATTGCATATGGATAATAATAATTATTATTATAAAAAATAGTGACCTGTTGACAGTTGAAACTGAGAGATTAACTGAAACTTAACAACAGAAATGTAGCAGTACTTCTGTCAATAGCTTGTGAGATCAACTGATACCTTACCAGCTAATATTCCGTCTGCTTATACACAGACTTCATCAGGGAATGGGGCTGTGATAGATGTGACAACCTCCCTCCTCCCATGATGTGCTCTTTCTGTGATGTTGTCACATCTATCACAGCATATTTTTTAAATTATTGACAAAAGGACTTTATTTCTATTGACATTACATAAATATACATATAACAATATTTTACTTACAGGAGATGGGTGTGGTGAGGGAGAGTGGCTGCTTTGTGATACACTAATATAACCAGGGTCGTCCAACGAGTTGGTACGATCTGTGAATTTTTTTCGCTCATGGTAAGGACTCAGAGCTGAAAGGTGAATTCACATATCTGTTTGTTTCACATAATTCAGTTCAAATTGTCCATAAAACATTCATAAAATATCCATTGCTTACATATTGATGAATCGGCATGCATGGGCAACAACGAGACTCACAGTTTCAGATAACGGCAGTTTGAAAACATATGCAATTTCTAAATATTGTAAGAATAATTTTTCCAAGGTCAAAACATTCAAGAGAAAAAAAATCTTTAACCAATGACCAATTAAACGGTATATCAGCCACAGTTAAAGATTAATAAGGAGACAACGAAATGGAAAAATCCCACAATTTTAATGCCGGACACATTATGCCACAGAAAATTAATATAATGGGCACATAAACGTACATGACAAGTAAATAATCATGATAGTATGAGACCAAACAAACATGTTTATAACAATATTACAGGCAAGTGACAGAAAAAGAAAGTGAAGTTAGTCAGGACATCTAGAGTATAAACATGACACAGAATAAGAAATATGTGACTGAAAGTTGACGGTGCAGCAGAGACACTTCATCCACAGTGCTAACATGTACATCACCCTTCAATGAAAAACAACAATTATCAGTAGAAATGAAAAAGAGATTAGTAAACGGACAGAGATACATACACTGTAGTTTGAATCAATGCAATCTCACAGTAGGAATGAGCTCCCATAATCATTACACTGTTTTTTTCTTGTTCGTTAATAAAAAATAGGTACATATACTAGAAACTAAATTTACAAATAATCAACTTTGAAAAGCAGTTATTGTTTTAACATACAAAGAAGAAACATTTTTCAAAATCAAGCTATCAAAAATGTAAAGAAATTTGGTTTAGAATAGTTCTTATAGTTCTTAAAAAGTGCAAGGCAGCAAACTTTTTCATATATAGTAATCTGCAATCTTATAGTTTAGGTTTGCTGGTAATTGTATTATTTGCTGGTAATTTTTTTTAGTTCCCCCCCCCCCCCCAAACCCCACTGGTGACTTTGAAAAGTCTAACAAAGGCAGATACTGTGAGAATTGCTATCCACCTAAGTCATAAGTTAGACATAGTAAACAAACAGAACAAAGAATTGAAAAGACACATAAGTGATCCACAGAAGGGATCTTGGCACTTTGATTAAATAATGTGTTGTTAGTTAAATATCTGAAACAGATATAGAAAATATGCTTACATTCTTGACATGAGGTAAAAAAGTTCACTTGATACCACAAAACGATTAACTTAATTTTCAAATAAATGAATGGCTCGTCTCTTATTCTATGTGTTAAAAAGATATCTATTTAGCATAAAGTATTTATTTCTCAACACAACTTGAAGAGCAGTGACATCATTGTTGTATCACGATTTGTCTCAAAAAAGCCAAGAGAAAATAAATAAATAAATAAATAAATAAATAAATAAATAAATTAATAAATTAATAAATAAATAAACTATTCAAGAATATAAGCATTTTATGATACATTATATGACAGTAATTTGTGCAGACAGTTAGGAACATGGGCTTATCATAGAACATACTGTTGGATCTTTTACTGATTTCAGGATCAGACATAACATGGGCTGCATCAGGTACATCAATTGAAAAACTTTTCATTCTCTCATTCAGCCTGGGAATGCGCCTGCGACTGCCATTAGCACCCAACAGCGGTCCTGGTGCTAGAACAGAAACAGAGAAATTCTATGTGGCACCAAGAATGCATAAGACAATTTGCATCAGTATATTATTCCATGCACATTACTTTCTCACATCCCTGATTTATATATTATACATACATAAGACAGAGATTAATAATAGAGCAGATATAGTATACTGATGCATGTGTTTTAGAGAACATATACGTACACTGTATGTACCAGTATACATATACATGTATGTTCTCTAAAACACATATGTACCAGTATACTATATCTGTGCTTTAGAGGGTAACAACTGTATTACAGGGTGTTTTAAAAGGCTATCATGTATATATCATTTCAATCATTTTATTAAAATATTTGTTTATATCAGCATTCCAGACAGAAAGAGGTATACATTAGTCAGCACGTCCACTGTTACACTTAGATGACACAGAAGAATATGCTGTCAATGATGCAATAATAAGACCACGAACATCCATTAAACTTAACATTTTTCAAAACCTGAAAAAAGTGGATAGGTCTAAAGGCTGTGACTTTAAGTCTAATTGAGATTATATATGTTTACATATATAAAAAACATCACAATAAATTAGAAAAAAATACACTGTCAGTGCTGTATACAAATTGATAAAAACACCAACTAGAGCTGCCATATTTTGAAATACAAAAGAAATATAAACATGAAATAAATTGTTTACTTATATTCCATGAGTATTTATGAATACTCATATTTGCAGAAATATATCTAGCTGTACTAATTATGACCTTTCAACACAGAATAGACAAAAATATACAATGTCATGCTATTTATTGCTCTAGACTACAGCAAGCTCCAGAATTTGATATTTACAGTCATGGTATGCAGACATCTGTGACATCCAACACTTTGGATATAAATATATCCTTAAGCTTGATAAGAACATATACCTATGATGAGTGAACATGTACATGTATACATACACATGTATATCAATACGTGTCTGACTGCATGCATGTGGGAACAAGTGCAAGTACGATCTGAGGAGCATGCACATGTCATTGTGTGCTCACCAGGTATTTCTGAAACTCCACACGGTTTCACAGATGCATCTTGTCTTGTAATTGCTTGGGGAGAAAAATAATGCATGAAAATATCGAGACTAATAACTGCATAGTATACCTCATGGGACATAATTAAAATTTTTATCTAGACTTATAATTTTAGCAGTAATAAATTAGGAATGATATTTATAGTATAACATAGAAGGAAATCTATTATCATGTTAAAATGAATATTATATACTTGGATTGAGGATTTTTTTAAATGAAGGGAAAATGGTGAACAGAGATAAATAGATACAGTCTGTACCAAGGCAAAGTTTTCAAGAGAATGGGACAAAACAACAATTTGACCTTACAATTACATTTAGTTTGCGACATCAGGGTTATGAGACAGACAAATATCAAACAGCAACAACAAAATTACAAACTGTGATATCAGTATATGGTTAGAGAGCTTAGAGTAACAGTCAGATTCACTGTATATAGGGTGCTTCCATATATTTTCAGCCCATATAGGAAGAATACCTTTTATTTTTCAAATTAAATGTTAAATTAAAATTTAAATATTAAATCATAAAGTAACCACAAAGTTTTTTAATCCATCCTTAAATTTGCCATGTACTAGATTAGATATTCAATCATCTATTCACTGGTATCTCTGCTACTAACTATTCAATGATGATTAATGCAAATATACAAAACAGCAGAGAAATGATTTTGCTCAGTAACTTTAAGCTTCCATTTACATGTATGCTAGTAGTTTAAGTTACATGTAAGGCTATTAATTAATGCTGTTTGTAAATAATATATATTCCAGATTGCTTTCTACAAACTGTAAGTTAAACAAATTGGGTATTTTATCAAAGGGTGCATTCCCAGAGATTTAGATTGATCCAGAGATTTAGATTTAGATCGACCTAACTCCCTGGGGGTTCACGCTAAATTGCAGTCAGCCGAGCGCGCGCCATAGTTAATTACTCCCTTACAGCTTTCAGTAGGCGGGACAGACGCTTAAGCTGGCTAAACTGACAGTAATCTAGTGAGACTCCCCACAGGGATAGATCGATCTAAAATCTATGGAAATGGGGTCAAAATGTCCCTTTGTACTTGCAGGCATTTTAGGGAAACACTTTCAATCCATAAGAAAATGTGGTTCAATTTAATTAATTTCAATGCTCATAACACCCAATTGAGTACTTACTTCAGCACACAGTCAGACTAAATGATTTTTTCTCATATTGTCAGAAACAAGTATATGTATACATGCATTCACAGAAATATAGATATGATTACTAATTTTGAATCAAGCCCTATGATTCTAGCTTAGATGTGCCATGTATTTATAAAGATAGATCTAAATGGTATGTATGGAATTTTGGCTGTCTACCAAATATACATTAGATATTAGCAATCAACTTTGCCCTAGCGCCTAAACTTGTGTTGTAGACTAAGAAACTAAGCTGAAATTGAATCTATGCAAAGTGTTAAGATAAACTGTTCACATCTTCTAAAATCTGGGTAATATTCTTTCAATTTTCAATTTTTTCAAACTTGAGGTGTTTTTTTACTGAGACTGACATGCTTTCAAATAACATGTTGTGGCTTGAATATGACTGTATTAGAATGTGTTCTCTGATTTCAAATGTAGGAAATGATTAAAATCCAGCAAGCATGAAATGAAGAGGTTCACAGATAAAAAAGATGTCAGGAGACAGTTTACCATGAAGACAGAGCAATATTCGATAAAATATCTTCTACAAGACGTGCGGCACGAACATGCATTCTGGAAAAGGAGATGGGGCCAAGCTAGAAACATAAATAGATAATAAAAACATACAACATCGTCTCCCTGCTAAATTTGCAACAGCTTTTTCATCAGCTGATTGGCTCTTCATCCTGGAGTTTAACATGGGTGGTCGTCGGCTGCCACCATAGTTACTCTGCTCAAGATATGGTGCAGACAGAACGCGAGAGGCTATAAGAAACAGAAACACATGTCCCAATGTCAGTGTGTAAAAGCAGAACTGATTGACCAAAAAAAAAAGGATTCATTCTGCAACAATATTAACTACTGCTGTAATAGGAGAAATGCTCTTCAAAATTAGCAGCTTAAAAAAATAAACAAAAAATTATGGGCAAAGTTATGTGGTATACTACAGAGATTATAGCTTTATCATAAAGTGACTATTTTGATCAGGCACACAAGTGAGTCTGTTTTTAAATCTACATTCTAACAGTTTGTCACCTCTATCATTACTAAACCATTTCTTAAAATATACTCATGATATTTTCTTCCATATTACAAATAGCATTCAAAGATTTTCATGATAAACATGCAAGAAAAATTGCAATTATGAGTAATTTGATATATCCAACTGAGGATGGTAATTTAAAGGAATTAATATGGTAAATTATACGGAATAGTTGACAGAAGGTAAAGTATATATAATAGTTGCTAGCATAAATAGTAAAAAACATTCTTTAGAGATATATAAAAAACATCCAAGAGAAGAACACTTTTTCTGATTGATTGGAAAATTTGGTTTAATTGTTCTTTTTACACAGCATATCAATATCAATTCTTATTTGACTGGTTCAAATCAATCTTATTTGACTTTAGTATATCTAACTTTTAATTCATCAGAACTGGTACATGGTCATGCAAGGATTGTTTTGGGTGTTACATTTTGTTAAAATATTTAAAATTAGTCAGGGCATATGTATATATACACAGAAAAGATATGACAATTGAAGTCATTAGAAACAGAAAGCTTGTTTAAAATTGCATTTTCATTGTTAAATGTCAGTTTAGCAAATTCACCGATAACAGTAAAGATAAAAGGTGATCATGCCATATGTTAAGATTCATGCAAAATATTTATTAACTTAGATGCACAGAATCAAATCATCAAACAAAAAAGGCATCATTGCATATATGTATTTACATCAACCAAATAAGACACTACAAATGCAACAGAAAAAACATGCCCTCGTACCTTCCTGTGAACCAGAACGATAAGATTTGAATTTAACATTTTCTTGAGAACCTTGTTCATGTTGAGATTCCAGGTCAGATTCGAGGGTGCTGTCCAACGAAAAGCTCTTGGTTTGATTGTCCATTCTCTGCCGAATTCTAGACTGTTGTGATGAACTAACTAAAAAAGGGGAAAGTGGAGTGAGTGTGAGGGGAAAGTGCAGGGGTAGCCTAAAAAGAGTACCAGAGTTGCCAAAAATGTAGTTTCAAAAATGCAGTGCTAGTTGTTATCATGTAACTAAAAAATGAAAAAAAAACTATCTGAAAGAGAATCTGGAGTCAGAATTATGGGAAATATGTTGAACTGTATGTGTTGCTTTGGCAACCCTGGTTTAGGAAAACAAAACAAAACAAAACAAACAAAAAAAAGTGTAAGCAAGGGGAGTAAAGGGAAGGAGGCATCACTCAATCTACATGTACTCAGAGCCTCTAGTTTGCCACAGTGACTGTCCCCTTAAAAAAAACATAAAAGCCATGCAAATCAAGCTTTCAACCAACACTTCCTCTCTTTATCCTGACCAACTCAACTTCTCCAAATTAACTTTCCAAAGCCACAAGATCGTATATTATAAGGTCAGTTTGGATCAGAAAAAAAAGAGAGGATTTATTCTAAATGGCAATTTGATGTAGAGAATTACAAAACACTGAAGCATACAGCACACAACATGAAAAATGATCCAGTACAAGTCATAACAGATGACATCTCATCAAAAACTAGTAGAAACTTGAAATGAAAGATAATCAAATGCCAGTCTATTAAGCAGCATATTCTTATTCATCTGACCAGCATAAACAGCTACTGCAATTATGTACATATGTAGTCAGTCATCAATGTGTCAGTAGGAGAGTTCAATGCAATCTCACCTAACACATTCTTTATGAATATCTCCATGCCACACTGAACCTATACCTTACTATGAGTGAGGTGGGGTGGGTGGGGCAAAAGGGGCATATTTCCACCATTAGTTTTGAAGGTAAACCCTTCTTCACCCTCACCCCCTAATAAAAAGCAGCATAATTTGGAAGCGAGACAAAACCAAGCAATTTTTTCAAACCTCTGCCCTACATATATAGATGAAAAAATGTGTCTACTGCTTCATATCCTTTATTATTGTGCCCCTTCCCCCTTACTAAAATCTTTGATCCAACTAGAACATGTGCCCTAGAATGTCACTACTTCTACTGTGTGAGATTCAGACTGTCTAAGCATAACTGGCTTTTTTATGAAATATTTTACACTGCTAATGAGCCTCAATAACCAGCTTTCTATTCAACAGTCAAAGTGACCTAAGCTTTTCTGAATTACTGATAAAGCATTTTAGGTTAAATGTACAGCAAGAGTATGGATTGGGCTGTTTTTTCCCTGTAATTCACTATATGCAAATTCTGATATATGTCTCTTATGTGCATCCTAACTAACATCTCTACTCATACAGTATAATATATGATCTACCCTATTAAGTACACAAAATTGTGCACAGGACCAGTGACTATCTTCCATGCAGAAAAAAAGTATTCAACATCACAGTCTATCAAAAGAGTCTATCTAAGAAAAGGAATAAAAACAGATATTTACAATCAACTTTATAGGCGTCCTCGCTGCCACTGAGACTCCCTACAGAGTCAGTGAGGGATTGCGAATGCTGGTGATGAGCCTCAATCATCAGTTTCCGTCTCTCCCTCTGAATCTCTGAGTAGATTTCCGGGAATGATAGATTGTGTGAAATGGGCTGTGAGACAGAGGAACGGCGGTGGTCAGGACTCCGTTTTCCACCATATGCCTGATCTTGTTGGACTGCTAAGGCTGGTAACAGAAGTTGACAAAATATTGTGTTATTTTGTGGAAGCTAATTGCATGATGACTGACAGACATGGGTAACTTTCAAAAATTGTTTTGATAACACTATTTACATTTTGTTGCATGAATTCAATCATTTGTATAACATCTTTTCCTTGTTTCACATTTCTTTCAGTTTAGAAATCTTTTATCTTATTTATTTATTTACTTATTTATTTATTTTTGAATGATACATATAGCAAATTCTTTGCTCCTTTATATTTTTTTGGTCTTTTTGGATGGGTCTGTTCATCAACATGTTATTAGAAGCAGTTTGTACTGCTTTTTTAAAATTATATCATCTGAATTAAATTATTACTTTTAAAAGAAAATAGCTCATGCTATGAAAGCCTTTCCCAGCATATATTCCATTCACTATCAGCAAAGAACCAAACTTCTTCGAATTAACTTACTATGATGAAAAAATGACCGGCTTGTTTATGAATAATTTCTAAGCCAAACATGCAACAAAGTTCATAATAACAATTATTTATTCTTAGGTCCTGTGTGGGTGTGCATATTGCCTATCTATTCTGTTACATGAAGTGCTGGTGTTGATGCTGAAGTGAGCACTCCATTTCAATCATCATGCCTATAAATATATGCCAGTACAAGTGGAGGTGCTGTGGTCAAGACACGCCATGGTGTCTGGTGATCTCCACATAAGAATTTCTATTCAAAAGTTTCTTTTATTTGCTGAATTTATACATAAACCAGCAATGACCTTCTCCCTTCCATTCCTGGCAGAAGATTTCTTAGGAGTTCACCATGATATTTTTTCAGATCTGCAAGTTACTATTGAATTGATTCTAAAGATTTTTTTAAAGTAAATATTTCATGAAATATTTTTTCGTATATTATGAAGATGTATCACAGTTTTTTTTAATCCCAGCCTGAATTTAGGTTTCTTGGGAAGGTTGGAGTGCATAGATGAATGTTATTGTGGATGGGAACAATAAGGTTGAAAGGATGTAAGTATGTGTATCATCTCTACCTTAAAGGTTAAGGACACTTTCTAAAAAGAAAGTGGAATTAAGTACCAGCTAATTTTCACACAAGTCAAATATGTTATATGAATGACAATTAAGAAGATCTCATGAAGGAAATACATTTTATCTTAGGCAAAAAAACCTGCAAACAATTTGGATCACCCAGACTTTTTTTTAAGATATGAAAAACACAAATACTAAGAATGTTTGTGTGCAATTTCAAAAAATAGAGATGAAAGATAGAAATTCCATTTTCAAGGAGTATGGAGAACACAATCAAAATCTTTTTCCAGAGAATTTCCCATCAAAGATTTATCCACTTTATCTTATCTGATTGTGTTCCAATAAATAAGCAATGACTTTTAAAATGAACCATCTCAGTGAGAAAAATGCAGTTATACCAAGACCTTCCTTTCCCACATTTCTATGGTAATACAATGTAATTCAATTTAAACAACATGAATGAATGATCCCCTCCCCCCCCGCCACCAAAAAAAAAAAAAAAAAAAAAAAAAAAAAATCCTATTAACAACAAGAAGCATGAGCAAAAATGTTCATTAGCTTGGTTGTTGGATAAACATGAAAATTCTCAGACACAAGCCTAAAATTTTCCCTACTGTTAGCTTACGGCCAACCTGGTCGAAGGCCTTCATCAGACTGACGTGAGTATGAAGGCCTTCGACCAGGTTGGCCGTAAGCTAACGGTACAGAAAATTTTAAACAAGAAGCTTGCTTCCAAGTATGAAATATTATTTCAATGATACTTATCTAGAAAAAAAAAACACCTGGTTTTAAAACTGCATTTTCTGACTAACATAGTTCAAAGTAAAATACCGAGAGGAAAAAAAGGATTAACAGGAAAATGTCAACATATTAGTGCATTTCAATCCACATGCAAGTTTCTGTTTTCCAGACATGTCACCTTGTAATGCCTGTAACCAACACCTGACAAGAATGATCTCTTTCAAGTACATACATTTCTGTCACGCATTACTGGATATATGATATTTGAACTTTACCTGATGAAAGTAACACTTTGAACGACTGGAGTTTTACTTTGCTGGTCATCATTCAAGCCAATTAAAATACAAGGTGCATGTTTGAGTTTTTAGAATCATGAAAGTGTAATGCCATATTTGACATCTGTTAATGTCGCAATGTACTTTAAAAGCTCCAATGAAGAATTTGCCAGATAAATTTCATTTAATGTCAAAATTTTTTATGCTATTTTTTTCCTATATACATATTGTAGATAGAGGTACATACAATTACAATGCCAGAGAGATTTATTTTAATTTTTTTAATTTTTAAAGCTTCACAACCTCAGATGTCAACATAACATTAGAGAGAATCTCTACCAATAAAAAAGTTCAAAATTGAAATGAAAATTACTCTCTCCTGCAAGGATCAGGATGGTTTTGGGATGGCAAGCAGGGCACTGTGCACAGGACGACCCCCGAGAATTATCTTCCTCCCCATGTTGAGTCTGCTGCCATTTTTGGAATTCAGCCAATTCCTTCTCATGCTGAGGCTGTAGGCTAAATTTACGTCCAGGGTTCTTACCTTCGAGAGAGAAATGTCATGCAAAAAGCAAGAAGATCAGCAGCAGCAAGATGAAGTAAAAAAGTTATTAGTTTACAAAGACACACCACAACTTCTTGTTAATATAAGCAGTTATCTTTGTGATTTAGAGCATCATGCATTTTAAGTGCTTTAAAGGTAGAGAAGTTAATAAGAAAAATAACCTTTTACCAGACATTATGGCATATTTTCATAGCTCATATTCAATACATAATCATAACATCAAAATGCAATCAAAAGATAAAAGACTTATTCTCTTTGGAACAATTTTAAAAACGCAATCTATATATAGAGGGATTTCAAAATAATAAATAATCTGAAAGAGTTTCCAGTGGAGTGCTCCACAGGTGATAAATGTTGAACCCACTTAATTTCAGAGGAAAAGCTTTTATTACATAGTGCTAATGCAGTCTTCCCTAGAAGAGTGATAGGAGATTGACGTGGCTGAGTGCGCAAGCAAATGAAGTGCATCAAATGTTAGACAGCATGTGCTTTATTTTAGGAAAAAACAGACCTGATGTACGCAAGTACTGCAAGCGAGCTAGACGAGGAGTTGAAAAAAAAACATTAATAGTTAGTTTCATGGCAATATCACAAGAGCATGACTTTTTCTTTGCACAAGAGGATGCTATTTTTGTATCCAGAGAAACTTTTTTTTTTGGCTATTCACCCATAAGACAGCACTTAGTATTTTTTATAGGGGGGCAAGTGATATGAAGTATAACAAGAATATAATATGGATGTGCTTTCATGAGATATGATTTTATGCAAACTGAAATGATCTTACACATGTTAAAAATGTGGTATAAAAGGTTATCAGGCCCTTTATAACTGTGCTTTCATGAGATATGATTTTATGCAAACTGAAATGATCTTACACGTGTTAAAAATGTGGTATTAAAGGTTATCAGGCCCTTTATAACTGTCCTATTCTGGAAATGTAATAGATAGCTGCACAACATATAACTGAGAGGGATGTAGACAGGTGTTTGAACTGATGGGAGGGGGGGAGGGGGATATTTGATCAATTAATGGAGGGATTGGGGGACAGAGGGGTGGGGGAAGCACAAATTGCAACAAATCTTAGATCTGTCAAAACTGACTCAGTAATCCATCTGATTTTTATTATATCAGCAGTTTCTTTTCCATTATTAAAATGAAATATGAAAATTAAGGAGTCACAGCATGTCTTTTACTAAGACCTGTGCGTATGTCCTCTCTATCCAGATGGGTTAGCATAAGTGAATCATGGTTAAATGACCCCCAAAATGGGTGTACATGTAAAAGAAAGTCATTGCAATTGTGACAAGTTAGATGTTTATATTTGCTACACTTACACTTATGGTGTCATATTCTTACTCATTAGAAAAACCTTGACTGAATTTGTATTTATGGCAATAAATAATTTTATCATTTTTTTCTTGCAAAAAAAAAACCCTTTATCAAATTTGCCTATTTTTGGGAAAAGTAGTTTTTTGCATAACTTTTCTGTGCATCGTTATTTATAGACAAGCAATATATTTCCTAAAACATTAATAGCTACTTATTGTTCCACAGATCATTCAATTAGAACAGTGATGGCAGCTTCAAGGTAAACATGTACAGTAGCAGCATTAAGTTTTCATGAAGTTATTGTCTGTTTAATACAACCATAAGTTAGCTAAAAACTGGCACTGGGCTTACTGTTGATCTCTGTAGAAAATGTGTTTCAGAGATGACCAGAATGAGGACAGTGTACATGTACTGGTGAAGGACTCTGACAAACTTGTATAAGCAACAGAATGAAGAAAGACAACGTTCAGGAAAGGACAGGATATGGCCATGAGTTAACCATATGCATGGAAGAGAAGAAAACTGGGAACTCGACAAAGTGGATGAAATTTTGGAGAAGACTTTTGGAGAAGACACGTTTAAGTGCAGCTAATAGCTCCAGGTGGACAGCATTAATACCAAGGAAGTGGCAGCTTAGACCAAGGTAGACATGACAGCAGCATAAGAGACTTTATGATATATGATATTGTGAACAAAAACTTAACTTCCTGCCAATTCAATTCAATAAGCCTAATAAACCGTTGCTAAATAAATCCAATAAAAATGCTGCCCTAAACTCTCAAAAAAGTCTAAAAACAGATCTTAAACTAGTTAGTCAACTTCTGAAATGACTAGAAGTAAAATTTTGAAACACCTTGTTGCACAGGCAATGCTGTTAGTTATTTGTAAAAAAAAATCAGAAAAACAAAATTTTGTGTCAATTCATAAAAAAGCAATAACATCATTCTTCCAGAAAAGCAATATTATGGCATCAAACAATGTCTTCTTTCTGATATTTTTATTTTGATATGAATTATAACATGGGTATTTAACAGTTTAAAAATACTTTCTAATCATACTTCATGG